GTGAGAGGTGACAGATGTGTGTCAGGGTCGTGTTGCTCTTATCTCTGTGTCCTTCACTCCTCAGCTCTGCTTCTTTGCTCCCTGTTCGGTGTAGAACGAGATAACAGCAAGTGTAGCCTATCTCAAGTCCTTTATTGCTTCAATTGTATTTCAAAACAAAGTCAAAATCAAAATGTTCACTATGTGTTTAGAGGTTTTGAACGAACGTTGTCTATGCACTACACAAAAAGCTTTACGAAGGTTGAAAGTATTTTGAAGGCAACATTATCTGAAACCATCTTTATTGCATTATTGCTTCTTATCATCTAAAATGTTTCCACACAGAATCTTAGTTTCTATCAGTGCTGTTTATTTCTTATCTCTGTGCTGTTTCAGGTAGGTTGCTCTGTCATTTCTATCTGCACTTTACATCTCCTCACATTCAAAACTGAATTGCTTTTCTCGTGTTGGATCAAACGCTCTCAAGTGCCTCACGGAAAATCATGAAAAGAGCAGCTGGTTACGAACTCTCACATTTTCACTATAGAAACCAGAATTTGTATTATATTTTAGCTGTCACAATATTCAGTCATAACAGTCATGTTTAACTTATACATTTCCTCTAGTTTTGTATGGTGAACAAATTTAGCTTAGGCCTACCACTTTAATTGAACAGATGTGTCTAGTGCTACATTCTTCATTGAAACCGGTTTCAAGACACTTTATAGAATTTCCATCCCTGCTTTACATTGTCAAAGAGAAATAATACAATTATTCATATGAATGATGGTTTGGGAAGGAAAAATGACCATTACATTGTATTCTTTAATAAAGCAATTACACATTTATTTTTAATAATTATAGAATAAAAATGAAATAAAATGGTAAGTTATGAAAACATTTTCACTAGAGGTAATATGCTAAAACTATTTTAGCTATACTATTCAGTCCTAATAGTCATGTTTATAACCTACAGACAGACAAACATGTTGAAATAAAAATAAAAAAAAATGGTGATTTCCAACAGCAAATGACAATATCTGGATTTCTGGATTTTACACAGTATGTTTTGATACATTTTATAATAACGATATTCAGACATTCGTCGATATTCAGTTTAATTCTTTATCACAGTCAGAGACCCATGCACTCTCTGGTAAAATGTGTCATCTGAGTGGCAAAAAATCCACAACAAATTCTATTACACAATGAGATGAGTGAAAATTCTAAACAGACATGATTGTTAATTTTTTTCTATTGAATCTACATAATCACATAAAATTAAATTGGAATTTTAATTTATAATGCTAAACATTTTTTAAATCACTATTCAATACAGGATTATTACATGTGTTGAACGCTAGATGGCGCTGTGTCACGTGTATTGGAGAAGAGACGTGTAGTGATCATTTGCAAAACTGAATTCGCTCATTCATGAGGCAGTTTAATGGCCGTTATGTGTCCTTAAGAAGTCCAGTTTCAGTTAGTATTTTCTGAATGATAAATCAGAGCTAAGCAATCTTAATATTTACTTGTATTATTTATTTGCAGATTGTTTCTCAATAGAATTATTAATAGTTAGAGAGAATCGGGGAGTTTAACCTTTTGTCTTTCTCAAAAAGTATTTTGAAAAAGACAGCTTCTACAACCACCTGAGTAGGGTGGTTGCCATGCCTGATAAAGTGATTTTACTCCTGTATCTCATTTCTGATTAGTTACAACTAGCATCTTGTAACAACACTACTCAGTCTCCCCTATATTATGTAGTTCAATGCCTTTGAATTTCCTCATAAGATGGAATAAGATACCATTCAATCACTAAATCAAGTACAAAGAAATGGCAGTTTAAAATGAATGAATGAATGAATGAATGATGCATTTATATAGCGCTTTATTGTGTATTTTTGTACACCCAAAGCGCTTTACAATCATGGGCATCCACTTGGATGTTGAAATCAATCCATCCATCATAGTTTCCAAACCACTTGTCCTATGCCTTCTGTGGGGGTCTTCTTGCTGAGAGGTGACATTGCTTGTGGCGCTCTAACATTTAACATTTGATTCATGATCTCACTGGAGCGCAGGAATAGATGACTAGGTTGCGTAGAGTCAGGATTATGTGTCAGAGCGACTGATGTAGGCCATGTTTAATCTCACAGGAACAGAGGTGGGATTATAATGTGGAGTGATGTGTATCAGTCTGTATTTTGGGATGAAAATGTGGAGACAGATGAGAAATTAATAGTTAGTGTAATTTTTGGAAATACTAGTTTGAAAATAAATAATTAGTGTTTTACATTTGCATACAGTTTTGTGTCAGTTTAACTACTTACTGTAGGTTTGCTTCCTTATTCTGTCTGTTTAAAGAAGGCATGTGTTTCCTTCCCAGTGTCCTCTGGGTGTGGTCTCAGAATGACAGTGGTTTCCGGTCTAGGACCCAGACTTGGTTTTCAGTGTTATTTCTGAGCACTGACTAAGAGGCACACGGGCACACAGATGTGTGACATACTGTCGAGATAGAAACTGATGTTTCTGAGTCTGGCATGATATATACAACTAGATAAAAAAGTTTGTCAAGACAAACTTTGAAGTTGGCTTGAGAAAGCTAGTAGATAGATAGTAGTAGACAGACAGACAGACAGACAGACAGTAGTGAAGTATTTTTACTTTGCTGTAAAAGTACTTTTCAAGTGTCAGTAATCTATCAGTGTTTTCCTTTAGAAAACTTTACTTCACAACATTCCAAAGCATAATATTAAACTTTTTACTGCACTACGTTTCATATTAAATATAATTTAATACTTAATTATATTACATTCACATTTAGTCATTTAGCAGATGCTTTTATCCAAAGTGACTTACAAGTGAGGACAATGGAAGCAATCAAAATCAACAAAAGAGCAATGATATGCAAGTGCTATAACAGGTCTCAGTTAGCTTAACGCAGTACACGTCGCAAGGGTTTTTTAAATTATATAATAAAGAAAAAGAAAACAGAATAGAAAAAGAATAGAGCAAGCTAGTGTTAAAGGCCTTTTTTGCTTTTGTTAATTGTATAATAAATAAAAAGTAAACAACTAGATAGAATACAACAAATATATAAGCTAGTGTTAGTGTTGTTGTTTTTTTTTTAAGAAAATTTTTAATGTTCTTAAGTATTAAAGGTAAAAAAAGCAAAAAAAAACAACAACAACTTTTATTTATGAAATGTAGTGCAGTAAAAAGTATGACATTATGCTTTGGAATGTAGTGAAGTAAAGTTTTCCAAAGAAAAACACTACAGATACTTTTTAAATTTACTTAAGTAAAAATACGTCACTATACTGTCAACCTCTGTAGATTTCTAAGAAAGGTTAACAAATACTATCCATATTATTCCAACTTTGGATTTGGCTCTTATAATCCATATAAATGCAACCCCAGGCCACATAATCTAAAAAGAATGACAGGAAATTTGACACAAAGATGTTTTCAAAGAATCAATTTTGAAAACTATGGAAACTAATCCCTAATCGTAACAATTGTGTTCTGAACGGTATAGAGCCAAAACAATAAAGCGACACACAAAGCCACTAAAATGAGCTGCTTTCAAAAGTATGCCGCTTTGTGGCTGGTTAATGAGACTGTTGTTCAGCATGGTGCTCACGGCCAGCAGGTGGGCATTGTTTTCAGCTGTAAGTTTGACAGGTGGTACAGCAGCAAGCTACTTTGGTAGTTTCATGTTTTGTTTTTTTGTTCCGCTTTAGCTTGGGTGAAGTCTGACTCACACACAACTGTGTAAAAATAGAGCCACATAATACACACACTGAATGATTTGAGTTGTGTCTCTTAGCTTTCCTCTGCTCCCCCCATTTCGAGGCCTCCTTCCTTCCTTCTCTCTCTTTTGTTATGTTTTATTACCAAAATGCTCTTATTTTCTTTTGTAAGAGAAAAGGTAGCCTACTATCTTTGTTTTTCAGCAGCAGTGGCGCATGTCTGTTTGCGCTTTAGCCATGCGCTACTTCTAAAATGCACAAACAAGATCCAGATGGCCTCTAAATGCCTCCCTCAACATTAGGCCAATATTACAGCTGCCTACTTACAGTAAGGCCCACATGTGATACAACATGTCACTCCCACAAGTCTTGAAATAGGTAACTGAAATTATGAAAGTCATAAACATATAATAACTCTTCAAAGAAACACATCTGATCACTGGCTGTGTTGCCGGTTTAGGGAAGGTAACATAACAGCTCTCAAATGGATAGAATGGGTTAAATGAATGGCCAAGTGTTTAGTAAATTAGATATTTTAGACATGAATCTTTAAAAAAAAATACACTCTTGCTATTGCTCATACATATAATTTTCTACTCAGCTCCTCAGGTTTTATATGGCCAACAAATTTAACTTACCGCTTATTTGAACAGATGTTTCTAGTGCTACAGTCTTCAGTTTAAGTGGTTTTAAGTCACTTTATAGAATTTCCATCCCTGCCTTACACTGTGCCAGAAAGTGACCCTAAATGTTATTTGCTAAATTGCTGGTTTTGGTAGGATTTTTTCGCCATGGATTATTGAGGGAGGAAAAATTACTATACATCCCATTTTTAATAAAACATGTTTTGTTTGTTTTTAAAATAATTATAGAATACAAATGACATAATAATGCCAAGAAAACAATTTGAGGACAAATACTGAGAGTCCATTTTATACATTTAACTGTTATCAAGTGTAATGAGAAGGCGTTTTAATAGACGTTATCATAATCTTTTTTCTTTCTTAATCTCCATGTCTCAAAATGTTCATTTGTTATTACAATTCGAAATATGTTTCAAAAACGTTAGGAGTCGGTTAACAAAATAACTAAACGGAACAATAACATTAGTAATACGTTTTCTGTTTGCCTTGTAAATTTTTGGGGGATTTATACACGCCCCGCCTCCTGTTTAATATGCAGCCCCGCCCTGGTTAATTATTCAGCAATCCCGTTCTTCCTTTGCTACGCCCCCTCATTAATTTCAACACGCTTCCAGCCCACTAGTACAACTTTTGCTTTATTATTTCGCGGCCATTTAGGGAGACTGAATGTGATGTGGTTTTCTGGTAGAGATTTTGATGAAAAGAGTCTGGATTTCTTTACTGCACAACTTCAGAAAGTATTTTATTCTTTTAGTCTCATAAAGACCTCGTAGCAGGAATTGGTGATCTTTGCTTGACTTGAGCCGTTTTCTTAAAGGCGATCAGACACACGGCACGTCATCCTCGGTTCAGTGCCACTCCCGAAGGATTAGGTTGTTGGAATATGGAGCAAACCCACTAAGCAAGCACGGGAGCGGGAGTCCTCTGAGTGCGTGGCCGAGTGGGTCGCCCCGTGTCCGGCCTTACGTGTGCTGGAGATCCCGCTAATATGGGATGTGGACTACGGAAATTGGAGGACCCGGAGGACAGCAGCCCGGGGAAAATCTACTCCACTTTAAAGAGACCACAGGTCGAGACTAAAACAGACTCCGTGTACGAGTATGTGCTACTGGACTTCAGTCTGGAAGGTACAGATCAGTGGAGTAAACAAAGATTTTTATGTGATGTTCGCTTACAAAAAAAAATTGCCCTGGTAACCATAGTTTCCTACAAGTTGACTTAGTATTAGTTAACCCTTAAAAGAGAAACGCGGTAAAAACTGTTCTGAAAGCTTTTTAGAGTATTCACAATAACTACAACTATATGTATTTATTTATTTGCAGAAACTTATTTAGCATGGTACGTTTTTATTTTGCAAGGGTGTAAAGAATAAGAGCTCCAGTTGTTAATTAGGCTGTCTCAAAACTTAGCAAGTGGCATGTGTGCCAGTGATGGACAAAAATGCTGTCTGGGTAGGCAGCTCACTATGATTTGAGTCAATACCATGTCTTCACTTATAAAACTTGTGGCATGATGAATCTTGGCATGTGCGTCCTGGAGTGTGTGAGAGCGAACGTTTTACCCAGCAACAGCGCTGGAGCTTCATCACGTGTGGAAATGGGTCAGGAGGGTTTTCTCTCTATTAACGGCGTCTGAGGCGCACAGACAGACGGCAGCTCACCCGCTTCTGTTCCACAATATGACATTCATACTCACTGACTCCCTCTGTGCAACCGTTTCCACTCTCTGAATTTCTCATTAGCGCCTCATTCTTGGTTTGAAGGGACCATGCGCAGTCTATTTAGTACTGCCCACATTCATCGTATGTAGAATTAATGTAGTATAGTAGTGATGTGTAATTTTGCCTGGAGGAGAAAGGGATTGTTTCAAAGTTGGTGCGGGTTTCTGTCGCGAACCAGCCCTGAGAGGGAAATGGAAAAACCACTCAAAAACCCGTAGTTGAGAAAGAAAATCTAGAGTGATCACAGAACGCTGTTAGCATGAAAGGCAACATCAGTCGCTCCACTCCACTCATGTACGGTCCAGACCGTATTTCAGTCTGTGCGTTGAAACTGAAAAATACGCAAACTTAACTGGCCAATATTTGTTTTAACAGACATACATTTCACTAAGGTATCAACAGAGTAAAACAAAGTAAATTTAAGTCTCTAGTGTCGTATCCTCCATAGCGTGAAAAATGATTAGTTTCCAACAGTTATTAAAAGAAAAGATACTTATTCCAACAACAGGGTTGCTTTCATGAAAGCAATCTTTTACTCATTCCGTTCCAATCCATTTGTTTTTGACATACATTTAGAGTAGGCTAGGTTTCAGATCTGAGAAGGGTTGGTGCACTTTTAGATAATGCTTCTTTAACAGCAACAGAATACAATAGAAATGTAGTAGCCTATAGACAAATTTAGTCAAAATGATATACAGTCAAACCAAAAATTATTCAGACACCAGATATAATTTGATTTTTTTTTTTTACTAGTGGGTGCCGGATAGTTCATAAATGTAAGTGAACTGTGACATTATACCCAAAAATTCTTCATACATTGGACTACCAGTAAAATTTGGGATCATAAATATTCAGACACTTTGACCTGACCATGTTTTGCTTAAGTGTTTTTTCTTTAATTGATAATGTGATCTTTTTACACCACAGACTGAACAAAATTAAGAATTGCTTGGTAATTGGTTGACCTAATTTAGTATTATCTAATTGTGTACTTAAATTTAACGGCTGAATAATTTTTGGTTGATTGTAATCTATTACATGCCTTTCTATCAAAGTTATGTGACATTATCAAGATGAATTTGTTCTAACACAGTTTAACTCTTCTTGAGTTCTTGTGATATTTTATTACCATTTTCTAAACTGTGATATAATGCGAGATGTTGAAGGTGTCTGAATAAATTTTGGTTTGACTGTACATATCTCGATGGTCACACTCATTCACCCCCCACCCCTTTGAAATTTGAAATCTTTGTTTTGTGATATAGTATATGTTGAGTATCCAGGTAGTGCTTGGAATGTGAAGCGTTTTCACAGGTCGCGTGTCTCCACCTACCCAAGCCTCAAATCCATCACTTTAGAATATTAAGAGGAAAACCAATTACTACCCAAAAACTGACCTTCCCCTGGAAGTGTTGTCACCTGGTCTCAAAAATCAACATGCATCAATAATATTAGAACAATAAATCGTATGGTAAGGCAACACATCTTCAGATATTGTACCTTTTCCTCTGAACATAAACATGTCTGCGGCTGTGGGAGTGAGTCAACTGGCATGTCAGTTCATCCTTCATTCCAGCCTTTCATTCCTGAGAACACCTGGTGTACAGATGCCTGAAGCGACTGTGTTTGACACTGCTCACCGGAGCGCTCGCATTACTTAAACAGTTTCCAGGCTCCTTCGTGTTGCTCTGACTGTGTATTGAGTGTAACCTGTGAGTTACAGACAAACACCACCTCTGCTGTGTTTGTGAGTTTTGTTTTTTTGAGTTAAGGTGTAGCTGTACTTCGGTTCTTCTTTGCAGCCATGTGCGAGAACCTTAGCTTGGCATGCATGTACACATTTCTCTACCTAAAATTATGGTAGGGCTGACCATGAAGTTGATACAGACTTTGTATCGCTTGTAAAAATACCACAGTTGTTGTATTTTGCATACTTTATGCATTCAATGTGTCTTGACATGAGTTGCAGGTCAAGACAGGATCCAAAAGGTTCCAAAAGATGCCAATGATGCCATAGAAAAACAATTTGGTTGTTCTTAAAACAACCTCAAAAGAACCTTTTAACCCCCCTTTTTAAGTGTGAAGAACAGTGTAATCTTTTTTTGCAATGGAAAGTTTCTGTTGATGTTAAAGATTCTTCATGGACCCAAAGATGGCATTAAATAACCTTTATTTTTAAGAGTGTTGTAACAAGGAAATGAAATTAAAATGCAAAATTTCTAAATGAAAAATTTTAGTAATACCTTTTGTGTTTACAGGAATTTGCTTAGTGCTTAATTTGGGCATTTGGTTGTAGAAAGCCAGCTGTTCTTGTTGCAGAGGCAGACCGAATTTCAACTGGTGGCCTTAATCTCTGCCTTGGATCAGTTTCACTGCTGTCGGCTTAAAAAAATAGGGATTCGCTTCAGTAACATCTCAGTTTGGCCTTAAATCACCACTTGACATACCTTCATCAATTGTCATTTCCAATAACGAAATGTTGTTCACCCAAAAATAAAATTTTCATCAAATGAAATGAAAAGGAGTATATGATGATAATTTAAAAAAATTGTTATACCCAGGGCTTTTTTATGTTTTTTTGTTTTATGATTTTAAATGTTAGTATTCAACATTATAGTCAGAGCTAGGGCTGTGCAATTAATCTTATGCGATTGTCATGACTAATCACGGAACCGGCTTTACTGACTAGATGCGCATGACAATCGCATGCGATTAATTGCACAGCCCTAGTCAGAGCATTGAATTATAAATATTTTAGTGACAGTTTAGTGGTCGACTGATATTGTCGTGACATGAATATGACATTGGGCAAAAGCATGAAGCGCAGCACAATTTGACATCGCGCGTCTCAATGAAGCTGAACTCCCCTCCTGTCCGCATTCAATTCGCACGGACCGACCATCATGCAGAGTACACGCGATTGTGCAGGATACAAATGGACACTTCATAAGATCTCACAGCTGGATTCGACTAAGTTTGCAAGGCTTTTGAAATTAGATGTTCATTAGTCATTCAAAGATTTGTTTAAATTGTATAAATGCGTATTTGCTGAATGCTGACGGCAAACGAGAAAGTATTATAATGTTTGCCTTACTATTACTAACAATATATAAGCAATCGTTATAATACTTTTTTTGTATACATTTTAATTCCTTTGTTTAACAGTTCTATCTGAGTATTAGACCGACTTCGGTCCGTGGACAGAACTGTTAACGACGACAGCGAACAAGAGGGAGAATGTGAGCGCACTGTGTGTTCAGGGGCCGTCAAAATCAAAGTCCCGCCACGAACGCATCGGCCAAACAGAAAATCGGCCTTGTTGGCGATATATCGGTCGACCACTAATTCAGTTCAATTTGATACTCCTCTACGGAAAAAATCCACTTGCTCCATGCGGTGGTGTATTGGTGTAATCTCCTTTTTGGCTAATCTCATACTGGCATGCTAGGGGATTTGAGTATACAAATGATTTTCCTGATATATGTAGCATATTACATTTTAAGGAACAAATACAACTAGGCTCTGAAAGTTCAGTTGATGCAGTTTAATTTAGCAAAACCAATCAGGTTGTCTCATTGCTTGTGACTGAAATGAACTGCTATGACCTTGCAGTATTTTGCAGCGTGAAAACATTCCTGTTTCACAGAAACGCACATACAAAAAAGAAAAGGAACAATATTTTGCATAATGAAAATAAATCCTGTGTTTAGGACCATGAAAAATCTATTGCATTGAATTATTTTTGATTGAAGTTAAGCATTTAAAAAAAAAAATTAAAGGGTTAGTTCACCCAGAAATGAAAATTCTGTCAATAATTACTCACCCTCATGTTGTTCGAAACCCGTAAAACCTTCGTTCATCTTCGGAACCCAAATTAAGAGATTTTTGATGAAATCTGAGAGTTTTCTGAACCTGCATAGATGGCAAGGGTTCTACTACTTTTTTGTGCAAGGAAAACAAAAATAACGATTTTATTCAATGATTTCTGGGACAGTCCTTTGCCATTATTGATGCATTATCAATCCCTTTAAAATAGGCACAATTCTGTACAGTAGATACTAGCAAGATATATAAAGCATCTTTTAGGAGAATACCACAGAGCAAAATAAAAGATATTTTCCTTAATGCAAAACATCTATCTGGAAATTTTGCTCACTTTGTCATTTACCACCTTTCCTTCACACTCTCAAATGGTCCATACACAATACTTTTTTTTTTTTTTTTTTTTTTTGTTGAAGAAATTTCATGTTGCTGTTTTTCTCCCAGTCTGTCCGTTTCTCATTTTCCCTATGAAGCCTTCACGTTCAGACTCTTTTCCTTCTGAGTTTTAAAAAAAAAATCTGTTCTTGATTCTCCTCTTATAAACAACGTGTACACACACACTCTCTGTCTCTCTGGAGAACAGAGGCCTCTGTGTGTGTGTGTGTGTGTGTGTGTGTGTGTGTGTGTGGCTCTTCTCAGCCCCTGAGGACCATCGTGTCTTTGACGCTTCTCTAAAGCTCAGGTGTGAGGGACGGGCCTGTCAAAGCCACAGACACTGCTGGGATGGTGAGAATTTAAGGTAGCTGCCAAATCAGACTTGGATGAGAGTAGACAATTCATTTTCCTTCATAGCTGTTTACCATTTGAGAATGAGTTTACAGGGCGAAGATATTTGGTCTGAGTTTTCTCAGACTCCAATTCTGTTTGCTGGTCTGCCCCAGTGTGGGAACCGGAGGACTGAATGTTTGTGCGAGTGTGTGTGTGTGTGTGTGTGTGTGTGTGGTGGAATGTTGTGTTTGTGAGGCTGAGTGTGTGTGTGGCGTGGGGCCAGCCCTCCCTGTGAACAGCAGCTCTTTGTGGACACAGGAAGTGTGTTGGGGGTTGGGGAGAGGAGGGAGACATCAGGGTGATCTTCTGTCAGAGGCTGCAGACAGGAGAAAGAGAAGCCAACTAAACGGTAGCATGCTATCGAAGAGCCGCTTAGAGAAACCTTAACATAGGCTCTGTTCCCACACCTAGTGGACGGTCTTGCTGTTTGCTGCCTACATAGACAGCATCCTGAGTGGAATGGAATATGGAAATGTAATGCTGAACATGGGTGGCAGTCAATAGTCTTTTTTCATAGTAATGCAAAAAAAGTGCAAATATTAGGTAAACTAATTTGATTACAGATTGTTAATATATTTTATCACTCCTTTTTTGGTGTTTTATAATTGATTCCATAAAACTGACAGTTTTCACGTTAGTGCAACAATTTTGAATCAACGCTGAATACACTACCATTCCATTTATATGTGTATGTTTTTTTTTTTTTTTTTTTTTTAAAAAGACATTTAATATTTTTATTCAGCAAGGATCAATTCAATTTGTCAAGTCACAGTCAATGTTTCAAATAAGCATTTTTAAATAAATACTGTTCTTTTGAACTTTCTATTAATATAAGGATCCTGGAAAATGTATTGATTCCACAAAAATATTATAACTGTTTTCATCATTGACAATAATGAATGTTACTTGAAATGTTACTTATTTGAATGATTTCTAAAGGATCGTATGACACTGAAAACTGGAGTAGTGGCTGCTGGAAATTCAGCTTTGCCATGACAGGAATAAATTACATATTGAAATATATTTAAAATAGAATACATTTATTTTAAATGGTAACATATCATAACATTACAAATTGTTTACAGTATTTTTGGTCATTTTAAATGCGGCCTTGGTGAGCAAAAACATTCAAAAGTCTTACTGACTTCAAACTTTTGAACTATAGTGTACATGTTATGTTTAGAACAAAATGTAGTATAATCTGCGATGAACCGTCAGGCTCGTATGGGATTCTTTTGAATGATAGCTATATGATGGATATTGCAAATTAAAATGGGTGCTTTATAAAGATTGTCCTCAATCTGATTGGTTGTCTCTACACAATTTTCAAGAGTCATCCAATTTCCAAAATCCAGTTTCATGTTTACCCACCCCTAAAAGTCACATGAAGGTAACCGTGATTGGTGGCTTTACATGTCAATCAGATTACTCTGTTGTCTAAATGGGTCATTCTTGGCCAAAATAAGCTACGAAAAGTCTATGCACATAATCAAAATGCCGGTTTTATGAGACAATCTGTAGCTTCATAATATTTTCATAAGGTATTAAGTATATTAGCTTATCTTATATGGTGGTTTCCACTGAGTGTATTGTGAGTTTTATTTGTGCTGTGTTCCACAGGCAGTCGGCCTACGGTGCAGTATCTGTCCTCGCTGTGCGAGCTGCCCCATGCCCTGCAGTCCTACTACACCCAGGGCTATGTACTGGCCGCCCTGCATCCCATCATCCTCTCGGTGGGCCGGACCCGCTTCCTGCCCTGCAGCCTGCTCTACCGGGCCATTCTGGTCCGCCCACGATCCAGGTAATGTTCTCCATGACAAGGACTCCGTACCTCAACACTGCACCCCAAAAACCCCACACCAGCTCCTTCCAAGTAAATAATTAACTTTTAATGAGTCAGCATGAATATTTAATGAGATCATAGTGGGAGGTCAGACAGTCTAGCTGGAGTGGGCGGGGCTTGTGTGAAGTCATACTGGGATATAGATGTGGGTTAAATTTAAGTTAAAAGAAGCCCCTGACAACAGTGTGGTTTTTCAGTAACCAATGAGAACCTGCAAAGAAGCAGTGGAGGAACAGGGCAGGCTAGACTATGATGATGTAAATTATTCAAAAGTAAAGTCTGGGACAGTTGTAGTATGTTAATAGTGTTGTAGTGTGAAAAACATTGAGCTGTGTAGTGTGTAATGCCAACTCCTATGAAAACTCTATGATTGATGTCTGATTCTAGTGAGCATTAGCTTGAATGCACTTTTAAGCAACAACAGTGGCAGTGAAACCTGCAAAAAATTGCTTTCTCAGGCAGAGCCATCCAGGCATATCCACATCCATTGTTTGCTTGACTTCCTGTCTACTAAGATGCCTCCATCTGGTCATTTCTTGAAGGAAGGCAGCATAGAAGTATCTTTGTGTCCTGTGATATCTGAAGCTCACTTGAATGAGTTGTAAATCATTAAATGTGTTGTTTGAAACCAGTTTTCTTTGATGCTGGTTTCTTAGGGTTAAACATGTCGGCATTTTTATACTGTGCTAATGGAGGACATGTCAAGAATAGCAAATGTCAGCAATAATAAAATATGCATAATGTTTTCATGCAGCGAGTTTAAAATGCATTTCCTTAATTGATGTGTTTCTGTTTGTTTGTGTTGTGTGGTTGCAGTAATCATGCAGTGCCAATGATTGACAGCTTGCCAGTGTTGCGAGTGGAGGAGTGGCCACTGCCCGGAGAATCTCTGACCAGTGACACCGTGAGACTGCTCATAGACAGGGTCTGTGTCTTCATTTCAAATGCTTTTGTCTGTTGTTCATTTTCTTTTTTTATATCATTTACAGTGGTCAAGTTTTCATTTATGTATTTATTTATTTTTGCCAGACCTCTTGGGTTGTTAGTAGTGTTCGACCAATATTGTTTTTGTTTTTTTACAGTCGATGCCGATATCTTGGAGGGCGGAGTGGCTGATATGAAGCCAATATAAAATTATTTATTTTAATTTATATTAAAAAAAAATTGAAATTATTTGAATGTAAAAAAAAAAAAGACATCTTGATTCTTTAATCCTATTAAAATATTTTTCACAAATATTTAAAATGAATGTAAAAAAAAAAATGACATCTTGATTCTGTAATCCTATTACAATATTTTTCACAAATATTTAAAAATATATTATAGATATTAATATAATGATTTATTTTAATATTTAAAAAATTATTTGAATGTAAAAAAATATATATACATGTCCAATAAACATGACATCATCTTGATTCTGTAATCCTATTACAATATTTTTCACAAATATTTAAAAATATATTATAGATATTAATATAATGATTTATTTTAATATTTAAAAAATTATTTGAATGTAAAAAAATATATATACATGTCCAATAAACATGACATCATCTTGATTCTGTAATCCTATTACAATATTTTTCACAAATATTTAAAAATATATTATAAATATTAATAAAAAGTAAACACTATAACCTGAATCCTATTTTTTTTTTTTTTTCTCAAATAAAGCCAAGGTAACGCTCATTTTAAATTCAGAATGCTGACGGTAAACGTGAAAGTATTATAATGTTTGCCTTTCTATTACTATATTAATATAAAAGCAATCATTATAATAGTTTTTTGGTATGCCTTTTAATTCTTTTGTTAAACAATTCTGATTATTAGACAGACTTCTATCCATATTAGACAGAACTGTTAAATTGTGTGTGTGTGTGTGTGTTTGGCCATTCTCAGCACTGTCAAAATAAATGTCTCTTCTCAAACACAACGACCGAACTGAAAAACATATCGGCCGATGACGATATCTGAAATTGTCAAATATCGGCAGATATATCGGTCGACCACTAGTCATTAGATCAGGTTTTTAGTAGTCTTGCCAAAATTGTGGCCCCACCACACGGCTTTTTTAAGAGTCGTGCATTTTTATATTTACTTGAAATGATATTTAGATTTTTAATTGTTTAAGTTTGTAAATTTGCTTTACAAAAAGAAAATTAGATAAAGGCTGGAATACTCCACCGATTTACAGTCTAGAGAAGTTGACACTAGTTGCTGAAAGTCAGCGCCAGTCTGCATATTTGAGTTGACAGATTTAATTGAAAATCGAGTAGTGTGTGTGTGATCCTCAGTCATTTGTATAATGTATACAAGTAGTATACTATCATAGTGTATAATGCCCAGTTTTCATGCTGAGGTCTTTCTCTTTAAAAAATCCAAATTTCTTTTCCTCGTGATGGAATGTTTAAATATGGTTTCATATCACTAACCAGGTGTGTTTTGTGTGTGTTTGTCCTCAGGTGAACAGCTATGCCAGGGGTGGTGTGCGGTTTGTGGGGTCAGTGCTCCAGCAGGCTGGAGGAGGGGGGTGTAATGGTAGGGTGCCCAGTCCCAGGAGGGGCTGCCGTTCCCCGCCCCGCACCCCACCTCGCACACCACCTGGAGATGCAGATCTAGAGGGCCGTGGCTACAGCCCAGGTGAGATGTTCCTCTAATCTCATTATGGACCGTCTGCAGTTTAACTTATTAAACCATTTTAAAGGGGTCATATGATGCTGCTAAAAAGAACGTTATTTTGTGTATTTGGTGTAATGAAATGTTTATGCGGTTTAAGGTTCAAAAAACACTATTTTCCACATACTGTACATTATTGTTTCTCCTCTATGCCCCGCCTTTCTGAAACACGTCGATTTTTACAAAGCTTGGGTGAAACTCACAAAGAACTCCTATTTCACTCCGGAATCAAATAGGAAAATTGTATTTGGCATGTGAAGTTTTGTTTTTTTGTTTTGTTTTTAACCATGTTGACAGATGCATTGGTAAAATAATAACTAGACGGTGTAATTTTTAATAACCTTAATCAGACTAATGAACTCTTTGCTTTTTTTTATTTTTATTTCTTCCTCTTCAGTTTGTCTTGAGTGGTGTCAGTTTGATTTGGTTTAACCCAGTAATGTCTTTGTCCTCTGTGAGCCACAGTGTCTCCTCACCCTCTGGGCATCATACCAACCTCTCCATTCTCCATGGCAACCATTTCGGGGCCACATGTGAGATTAAGTTCAGTCAGAGGCTGTTAGTGTCTTAACACGAGTACTGTACCTCATTTATCTGCCGTTACACTTATTAGTTATGGTAGATGGACTGATAGTTTGACCTATTAAAAATGGTGTCTAAAGCAATGATCATTGCATGACTTATTTTGCTGAAATATGGCAAAGATTGAGGTTGCATTGGCCTGCATTGGTCATACAAAACATGTGAGACTCGCTATCATTTTCAGACCTGAGGTTGTTGGTGCTGTTTCACTCCTGGGCTCCAGGATGTGCCCCGCTGGAGTCGCTGGCCTGCTGTTACCACCAGGGTGCGCTGTCCATGCGCGTGTCCAGGAAGGGTCAAGTTGTCAGTGCCCTGGAAGCTGATTGGCTGGAATTGACCGCAGCTTACTACCGCAAGGGCTGGTCATTGGTCGACTCCTTTGTATACTGGGACACGCCTAAAGGTAGTTCTTGGACTTATTTTTGACTCATAATTTGATTCCCTGAGCTGGTTGTTTTTTCGGCTGAAATGTGTTTGTGAAAGGAAGATGTCAACATCCTCTTTAGCTCTTCCGAAGGAAGATTTAAGATTATGATAAGGAATTAACTGTGTTTTTAGCAAACCAGACCCCATGTCATGTTGTTGTTTTTTTTTTCTCCAAGTATACCTTTTCATTCTCAGAAGTCATCTTATAATCTCCATCTTTATTCATCCTTCACATCTCTCTATCTTTAACCAAAGCCATGTTTCCCTTCTCCTGTCTCCCATCAGAACTAAATTTAGAGCTCACGTCCCTAACCTCACGACCGTGCTTCCTGTTTCGCACCAGACTAATAGGAGCTAAATCAGATGTGTGTGTGTGTGTGTGTGTGTGTTTGAGACATCTGGAGCTAGTAAATTTGGACCATTAAAAGCAGTTTACAAAGTCGCTCTATAATCTCACTCACTTTCTTCCCATGTAATATGTTTCCATATGAATACAGTATTTACTGTGTATACTGTGTGTGTGTTTATTTGGCGGTCATTTGGAATACGCAAGATTTTAAATAAAAGAAATCTCGTTCTCACCAAAGATGCACTAGAATACACTAGAAAAAGTAACACTGGGAAATATTACAGTTAAAATAACTCTTTTCCTTTTTAAAATGTCTTTTATTCTTGTGATGTTATTCATTACTCCAGTCCCAAGTATGACATGATCTTTCAGGAATCATTCAAATATGCTGATTTGGTGATTTCTTATTATTACCAATGTTGAAAACGGTTAAATATTTATTTGTGGAAACATGCTTTTTCAGGATTGTTTGATTTAATAGAAACTTCAAAAAACAGCACGTTTTTTTAAAAATGGAAATCTTAAAAATATCTTTACTGTCAATTCTGATCAATTTGATGCATCCTTGCTGAATAAAAGTGGTATTATTGTTATTTTTAAATCTTACTAACCCCAAACCTTTGAACAATAATATACGTGTATGTTGTCTACCTGTATATATTATAAAGGATGTATAATTTAATTGAAGAAAAAAAAAATCTCTGTAATGTTCCCAGTGTTTGCTCTGTAATCTTTTATCCTCTCACATGTTGGTGCACATGGATTTATCTTGCTGTCATACAAGTAGTTCAGTTTCATTATCTTTTGTAGGTCATTGACACACTTCCAGCACTGACTAAATGAGACCTACAAATTATGTCTCTGTGGTTCAGTGGGTGAAAATATAGAATAATCAGAATAAAATGGTCTCTTGTATTATAAACAGTCACTTTTATCATTCAGATTGGAGTAATAATGATAAAAGGATGCATTTGAATGATTAAATTAACATTCAGACACATATGTACACATCTAGACAAAAAAAAATCTAGCCGTGAATTGCCATTGACTTGCTTCTCCAGTATAATGTAGATTTTTAATGGTTGTTTTTACAGGTGAGCCAGTGCCCAGGTCTCTAGAGGGGCTGTTTGTCTATGAGGAGAAAAGCACAGCGCCACCTGCCAATGACACGATTGTAGTGGAGCAGTGGACCGTTATAGAGGTGTGACTGCATGTATGAAATGTCTAAAATGTGTCACATTAACACATGAAGGAAGTTTAGTGTGTGTGCCATTTTGTGTTGTCTTTTATGATTTCCTGTTTGGGTCGCAGGGTTCAAATGTAAAGACAGACTATGGTCCTCTGCTCCACACGTTAGCAGAATTCGGCTGGCTGCTTACCTGTGTGCTGCCCACCCCAATTATTCGCCATGACAGGTGGGGCCCTCACAGTGCAAGCCATATAATCATGTTTCTTTACACCCCATCACCGTATCCCAAGCTGACTGCTTTTCTTTTTCTGCAGTGAAGGGAATCTCGCCACCAAGCAAGTTGTTTTCCTGCAAAGACCCGTCAAGGGTCAAACGGTACCACAGCACAGTCAGGTACCTGTTTGCTAATGTAATTTTAAACAATTACATTTGCAAATCTGTTGCTTTTCTTGTTATTTAGTCTATAAGACATATTTAAAGGACAGAATTGTCTATTTACAGTCTATTTTTGTGAGGAAGACTAACTTTTAAAGTGATAGTTCAACCAAAATTAACTTTTAAAATAACATTTTAAAATAATTGAACAACCATTTACAAACCATTGTTATTTTAATATTATATATATATATATATATATACACACACACACACACACACACACACACACACACACACACAATTATTGTATTTATTAGTATATTGAATTGGCTTTTATTTGTATATTTTCGATTTTTATTTTATTACTTTAGTAATTTTGTGCTTTTATTAGTTTTTAAAATTGCTTTTTAGGGTTGATTCAGTTTTATTTCTGTTTTAACTCTTATTTCAGTTTGTTGTCAAGGCAACTCCTCGTTATTTAGTTGATCTTGAATTACTAAAATAACTAAAATTAATTAATAACTTAGGCATTTAAAAAAATCTAATAAAAATGACAAATCTATAAATTTACTAAAACAAACTAAAATGAAAGTGAAAATATAAAAATTTAATTCAAACATTAACAAAACTACGGTATATTCGTTTATAAACGATACTAAAATAAAATGTCTAATTTGTTTAGATTGATTCAAATTTTTTATATTTTATTTTAGCTTTAAAACGTAATTAACAATAATAATGTAAAAAAATGTAAGAATACAAATCCATTAAGGACATAAATTTTTTGTTTTCTAAAGTTTCCCAAATATTGCGAGATTTTATGACATGTTATATTGTATCTCAACCCTTTTGTTTTTGTTCCTGAAGGGATCTACACGACGAGAGGTGTGTAGTCAGTCTGTGAGTCGAGGTGTGGATGAACTGCACACAGAGCTGTCGTCTCCATGTTCAGGGGGAATCGGCGGTTTCCCCGTGTTTGGAGGGGGGTATCCCAGTGCACTGTCCCATTTAGATGAGGGAGGATTTGAGCCAGACGATGGGGCTGCAGAAGTCACCTGTATGTGATGGACCTACTCAAAGATGCAATTTATTTTTCAAGTTCTGTCAGAAATCTTTGACGATTGAGAGCGGCAACTGACCTAAAATTGACCACATCACCAGACCACAAGAGATTTGTGTTCCTGTATTAGAAACCGACTCCTAGTACTTTTAACATTTTGTAAATTATTTTTTAACAAGCCGTAACGTATCATAGAGGTTGGTTTTATTTACTCTTGAAAGCAAAGTTTGTGTGCAATGATACTTTGATACAGAGTATCAAGATAGCACTGAAATTCACAGTTATTTGCATCAACAGTATTTCGCAGCACTTGCACAATACCACGCTCAGTTCACATCACATTTGTCTCATGATCAAACACCAACACAATATTTTCCTCATCACTGTGAGTGTCCTTCCTCACTGTTCATTTTTTGCTGTTCTTTTTCCTGTTCCTGTTATACTCCGAACCAGCTGACAGTTCAGTTGTTTGTTCTAACACCTGCAACGGTTCAACGTGTCCAAACAGTCCCTCTGCAGACGTTTACTTGGTGTGCAGGTTTGCATTTTCTTGCAGAAATGTTCCAGGACTTGGAGTCAAAACATCAGAAATGCTCCATTTAGTTTGGGATGCCAGTGTTTAAGGGAAATGCATATGCACTGTAAGCCTACAGCGCTTCAGAATGGAATTCAAGAACTAGCCTGTACTAAACACAGAACTTGATGCTGTAGTCTGGTTTATCAGATCTGTGCCATGTGTTCAAGTGGTGCTAAAGCTGAATTTGTATGTTAATCTCCTGGGAATTTCTTCACACTATCTAAAAGGGAAAAGGTAATACACTTCGATTTGCATGTTAAGTGGCAGCATTTCAGTTTAATAACTGCTATGGGACTATGAGCAGGGTACTTTCTTTTGTTTGCTATAAACTGACTAGTTCTCCTCAGCTTGGTGGTCAAATTCGATTTATCGGGCTGTATTTTTCAAACTGAGCTGCAGTGGTGCTGCTTGTGCCACATTAGAATTTTTGTAGAATTAACCACGTTAAGGGTTGTATTTTTCATGTCTTACATTGCCTTGACAATGTTTATCCCTCTTCGAGGAATGGCAGAATAGAATGAGCACATTTTAATTTGCAAAACAGACTATCAAGCTGCTGTAAATGTTAAAGCCATGGTGAACCGAATGAGATGTTTCTTCAATCCCAGAAGCTGAGCTCAAGCGGTTTAACATTATATTCTAATATACCAGAACTGATCAGTATTATTTACCAACTGTAGTATTTGTATGCGTTTCAGACAGTTTTTGTAATGTTTTATTAAATGGGTATTTACCTCATATTAAAGTGGATGTTTGTGTTGTCACTTAGCAGTCGAGCATGGTATATAAAGCGAATGCATAAGCGTAGACTAGGTTCAAGTCTTTTATTAACAATTGACATAATGAAAATACCATACATTTGTTTACTTAAAAAAAAAAAGGGACAAAGTGGGCCGGTTAAGAGCCCTCCACCCATGTAATAACTTAACAACGAGGGAAAAGACAGGGTGAATATCACCAGACTCGTTTATAGTCGAGGGAGGGGGGGAAAGAAAGGAAATTCTTATTGGTTAAGCAGGATTTACAATGGAGATGGAGTGAGATATGTACAAGGAGCAGCTGATGTAACGTTTTGATTGTTACAGCTGAATGATGACATTTGGATCAAATTAAGCATTAGTGAGTGGAAAAGTAACATATGTCAAATGACTAAAGTTGTACACCTCTGCTGTCTGGATTCTAGAGGCTCAAAATGCACAAATACAGCTCAGGCGTCACTCTCTCCAGCAGTGGCACTCTGGACTTCCTCTTCCAGGATGGGCACGATGAGGTTGTCCTTAGACATAAGGTTGTACTTCATCACGAAACGAGTGAAGCGGTGACACAAGAAAGTCTCATTCTGTGGGAAAGAGATGATCTTTTGATCAAATGTTTCTATCTGATGCGGTTTTGATTGTGCTTTTTAGCAAGCTGTCCAAAGATGCCTCCTACTGACCACTGCAGGAAATGCTGTTTGAATGAACAGGAGTTGCTTTGTCATGACCGCTGGTCTTTATCATGCTTAACATTCACTTTAAATTAAGTAATGACTCCAAAAACTCTGTGAGCTGCTTACTTAGACATGAACCTCACAGAAATCTCATTAATGACCAATTGGAACCTTTCTTAATGGGCAGCAATTCCTGATTACAACTGCTCTGTTAAGCAGAAAAATATACACAAATATTTAAAACAGTTTTATGATGGAATAATTTTTATGACTGAAGTTCAGGATTGTGAAATGATGCTTAAATAGGCAGTAGGTTTTGGAGCAGAGCTGATAATGTTTTATGAAATGTATGTGCTTATGACTTACATAAATGTTCTTGCTTACCTCGTACTTGTCAAAAATCTGGCGGTGGTGAAAGTAAGCATGGGAGAAGATCCTATAGATGCGACGGCAAACCGAGCCCAGTTTGGCCACAGATGATTCCTTAATGCTGACACTATATGGAAAGCAGTGAGAGGATCAGCGGTTACAGAAGACAGCAATAGCCTGTTTACAGCTAGAAAATCCTAGAAATGAACTTAGTAATGCAAGGGTGCACAAATCTGCTCATGAAGGTCTTCCTATGTACTTGAGATCCAACTTCAATTTTGTAAAGCGCTTTTTACAAAACAGCTTACAAATTCATGATGTACTGCATTTATATGAAGAAAAAGCTGTATTTATTTATAGTAGTTAGAAGTTGGAATAATTAAGTCATCATGCGGTGATATGGAGCTCTGTAAGGGTTGAAAGGTATGAGCTGCATAAGGTTTTAATTACAAAACATAAAAAAAAAAGGCTATTTACTAGTTATATCACCCACCCCTAAACAAGGGGGAAAAAATGGTTTGGGGGGTCCATTAAAAACTCCAATTTGGTTGTGTTCAAGCAGTGCTGGAACTAAATTCCGCAGGAAAACAGATCTCCAGAAGGAGCACTGAACACCCCTGCTTTAATAGATGTTCAATAACTCACCGGCTGGGAAAATACTTGTTGCTGTTGAGAAGACACGCAGCTCCGTCGAGAGTGTGCCTCGTGTAGTCAATGGCAGGGCACTGTGAGCCACCGTAAACAAACAAATCAACATAAGACACAATCATCCATATTTTAGCTTCAGTCTGTTAAGAACTTCATTAGGGCTGCAACAACTGATCGATAACAATCGATGAAAATAATCAACTAATTTGATGATTAATTTAAACACATTCTGTGCATGAAAAACAAAAATAACATCTGGATTTTTTTATCTGATTAATCAAAAACAATCTAGAGATTATGCAGCCCTAAAATTCATACATGGGCACAACTTCTTTTTTTACTATAAAGCTAATTTCAAATGCAAACTTCAAAAGGTCACAGAGACACTCACCTCTTTGGGAGTCTTATGGGCAGCACACAGAAAGATCCACTGCTCAGTGGCAGTCATCTGGGTACACGTGTCAGGATGACACTCATTCTATGGAGCAAAGACATCACACATCATTCTACTGTCTTCATAAATATCTGAAGACAAATGTAAAGACAACCTGGTATGTGACAAGGAGACGTACTTTACTTTTTTTACATTAAAAGTGCAGTGCAGAGTGCAGACTATGCGAGTTATTTGTGATATAACAGTGCGATAAAGTGTAAGAAATATAATTACCTGCAGTTTAACTGCTAAGCCATTGAGCTCCAAACAGAACTGTCTATATGTATATACAGAACATAATATTTACAGTTTACACAATACAACAATAACTCCCAAGACACAGCAACAAAGAGCATCTGCCATCTGATAAACATTTTGTAGACCAACTTTATATTGTCTTTAACTACTGTGTACTAACATTTAAATAAATATTACCCATTGTGTTCATACATGCTTTTAAGTTGTATGTATATTTTAAAAATATTAAATTCTGTAATTACATGGATAATTAGACTGTTGACCCTACCTCTCAACACACCCATAAACCTAACCGTGCTACAAAACTGTATCTCAGCTCAATAGCAGCAAAAGCAATTTGCAATACAACTAACAGAAATCACCATTTTGTCATCAAAAACTATAAGCTATGTGTCATTACAACACTAGATGATGTGAAGGACGTTCATGTGAAGGAGGTTCAGACTAATAATATACCTGAGATGTTCATATTTCCACACCCCCTCATCCTGTCCCTCTGGAGGCTCCATAATCTTCTCTATGTTGGAACAGTCTGAACGGATGTTCTGCTGGATATACTGAAATGCAAAAAACAACCATTTATTCACAATATAAAAACACCGAACAGAAATGAACAAAATGACTTCAAAATGTAATGATCTTCAGCAAATAACTTCAATCTGTTCCTCATATAAAGATACTGTACTACTTAAAGGGCATTAGAATATGGTGCAAAAATCACATTGACAATTGTTACAGTGTTTTTTTTTTTGTCACTTTTTGGAGCTTGACATCCTTTGGCCACGGTCTGGAAGAGAGCAACTCTCAGAAATCTTTAGTGATTCAATGAAGTAAGAAAACAGTCACCTGTTGCACTGCCAGTGTGCTGTCCATCTCTTCAAAAGACTCATCAGACCAGTTGTAGAAGTCCTAATAATGAATTAAACAACCAGTTTTTAAAACACATTAATAGAAACAACACTAGAATATTTAAGACAGTTCAACCACTGTTAAACAATTATTGACAGTACATGTGTATTACACACACACACACACACACATATACATACATATATACATATATATATATATATATATATATATATATATACACCAAATCTTTTAGACAATTTACAACTGTTTCTACGTTGTTACCATAGTTTGTACCTAACGTTACCTATAGGTACAAAAAAAAAAAAAACATGGTAAAATGTTCCAATGGTTATGTAAATTTCTTTATATATTAGTGACTGAACGCAGCAGTGTATAATACCTTAAAGCTGTATGACTCTGACATACAATCGTATATCATGTTAACTATGTTTTAAATAATAATTTTATGTATTTGAGCATCAGCAGTGATGTTCAGCCGGGTACTGCTAACGTTAGCTGACTGCTGTTTGCCAAAAAACTAGATCGTGAAAGCCTGGCATTTCGGACGCTTCCTGCCTCATACTTCACTACACATACAAGTACTTTCAAAAAGAACATAAATCCTATCATGAATTAAACTGAACAGGATATTCAGCTAAAACCCTCCATTTGAGAATCATTCGTTTTCTCGGCTAACTGCTAGCTTAGCTCCTTAGCATATCTGCAGCTTCCGCTCGCAGGAGAACAAATCGTTTTTTATGTAAATATGACATTAGAATATACTCTACGAACAGATTTGAGTTTGTAAAACGCTTTCAAATGTAATTCGCTGTTCATTTTACCTTCGCCTTGGTGCCTGGTCTATTCCTCCTCAGAACAGCTGTGCCCTCCGCCATGACCATCTCGACAGATTTAGAGTTTGATTGACAGCGCGCCCCCAATGGACGAGTAGAGCTACTACAGGAGGAGCTCAGATACAGTGACCACAACAAATACTGTGCAAAACATTTTCACAATTGTCAATTTCACAATGTCTTAAAAGTATTTATTTTATTTATAGTATTTTTTATCATTTATTTTGAACTGCATTTTAAACGGTTTTATTTGACCTGGGGCCTGTTGCATTAACACAGCCAATACGTAAATACTTTATACTGTGTCTTAAGAACTAGTCTGACCAGCTAGCGGTTAGCCAAGGGATAACCAGTCTCACTTTTATTCTCAAATTTAAATCAAATATTTTAAGCAACTGCATTAAAAAAATGTTATAACCAGCCTTTAAAAAAAAAGATGACTGTAATAAGCTGTTTATGCAGCTGGCCCCTGTGGGGAAACTCCAGGTGGCATTAGGTGGCTAATTTTATTAGCCATGAAATTTATTTTTTTTAAGGACTCAAGGACCATTCATATTTTTTTCTTGGCACTTACATTTTTTTTAAATAATAGCCAAGCTTCAAGCAATAGCCAGTGAACCAAGCTTCTCGGAGTGTACTAGCAAATTTTCATTTCTTTCTTACATCTATTCATTAATACTGTATATGTTTCCCTATTGATTATTCTAAATCATATCAAATAAGAAAACGCCATTTTTTGAACATTTGAATAATTTTTAATGAATAAAATGGCATGGCAGTTAAAAAACACTTTATATAATTGTGATAAAAAGGTCTAGGAGTCTGGTTACGTTCAGAAGGCATTGTACTATTATTATTTTAGTTATTCCTTCTGATTACATCCTGTAGCACATATTCATAATTCAAAGGAAATTCTTCATGGAATAAAAATGTGTCTGGTAAAACAATTTTCAAACCCTATAATTAGTTCACTAATTACTTTATAATCACAATAAAAAAAAAAAAAAAAAATCCATCTGACCCCTTTAAAATCTTCTACAAAGTTAGAGTTAAAGAATTCATACCTGACCAAACACTAAAACAAACCATTCATGAATATGGAATATAAAGTATCCTAATACACACAATTTAGACAGTCCATATCCATGTTTCAACATTCACATGTTAATTTCCAAACTGTTCCACGAAGAAGCAAGATGAAACATCAAGATCACTTTATTTTAAACAAAACTTGATCATACTTATTTACAATTGAATGACATAGAAAAAAGAAAACAAACATGGAACAACCATTCTCTCTATGGACTCCAGAATGACACAGATGGTTGAACAAGCAGACTTCATTCTACATATTTGCCAAGAATATCTCCATCCCGGAACAGGAAATAGTCCTACAAAAGAAAAGAAAAATACAAAAATGGCCATTGTAAAATCAAGTCACTATTATACAAATTATGAATATCATTTGGTTACATGTCTTCTATAGAACTTAGTCAGGATAGCACCATATTTAATTTCTGACAGGAATGAAAACAAAGCTGTGAAGAATAGAAATACTGTGTTCAAATGAACTAACTAAAGTCTATAATAACATGCCAAGAGCTTTAAATAATAGACTAAATAATGTATACGTATTAACTAATAATAAGAAATACATAAGAATAAAAAAATCAATCATCTTATAATCCAATCATGACCAATGATCTAACCTTATCATCAAGAACAACTTTTGTTCCTCCGTACTCCGGCAGCATAACTTTATCCCCAACTTTGACGCAGACAGGTGTTACTTTCCCATCCTAAAAGACAGACAGCATTTAAACTCTGAGGTACAGCCCGCATCTCACACACTGTAAAGAAAATGCTTAAATCAGATCATAAGATACGAGTTTATAAAAAAGCTACCTTGTTGGTGGATCCTGGACCCACTGCCACCACTGTAGCCTGCAGCACTTTGGCTTGAGACTTTTCTGGAATCATGATGCCTCCTTTTGTCACCGTCTCTGCAGCTAGCCGCTCCACCAACACACGGTCGAACATGGGAAGAAATTTCCAGAAAGCCTGCTTTGGGGCAAAGGCATGCTTAGTACAGTGTAGAAATAGTCTATGCATGTTTTGCAACACTACAAACATTAACCACTAGGGGGCATTGCAGACTAGAAAAGAGAAAATTATTTCCTTTTATTTTTTTCCAAGTCTTCCTTTTCCTCTACAGTTTTTGCTATAATGTAAATCTATGCCCAAATGTGTTCAAATAATATTAATCAATCAAAAACTATTATGGTTACATTCACTTTTAAAAGCAGGCCTTTAAGTAATGCTTTCCTAAAATGCACTACTGTAAGTTCTTGACTCCAGTTGACTTATTTAAATCTTTAGTTTACCTCCCATACAGATTACAACATTTAGGCTACTAAATTAGATGCACATTTAAAACGGATACCTTTAAGAAAAAAAAAAACACTGACCATTACTGTTCACAAAGTTTCAAAGACAAGAGCAGCTGCTTGTCTGAGAACAGATGTGTGTGTGTGTGTGTGTGTGTGTGTGTGTGACCTTGAGAGAAGGTCATGTGTGAGGGAGGGTAGATGGGATAGGAGATGCTGAGGATTCATGTGGGGGAGGAGAGAAGTTTGGAGGTTTTGTAAATGTTTACTATCCTGCCGAAGGACAAAAGGACAGGCAACATGATAACCGTCCAAGGCTGAATGGTTCGGAATGTAGAAGATTCTAGAATGAATCTGTTGTGCATTTCATCTGGCCTCATAATACATTTAAAAGCAATTCATAATTCATGTCACAAATGTCTTTTGTTATTGTCTGGTAGCCAATAACGTGTAAGCATTTTTAATTAATATGCTATGGTAATTTATTACAAGGTTAATCCAGACAAATAAACTGAAAACCCCTCTTGAGACAAGATTTCATCTCTATGCCTGAATCTAACTGAAAACAAAATAATCAGAGTTACTGTACATCACAATACACGTGTTCGCCTCCCAAAATGACCCGGAAGTTCATATCTTGCTGAAACGCTATTGGCTGTAATGATCTTGGAGCTAGCAGAGTATGGGATGATATTAGACTCTAAATGATTAATAGATGCACGCACAATTATCCATGTACTGCATACATTTTATACATGTATCTTACTAACCACAAACAAATGTCTTTCAATTTGAGTCTGTGTAATTCGGGATTAAATGATTGTGCAGCGATTTGTACAAATACAGACATGTTTGTGAATAAAAATGTTCTGTTCTGCATTAATATATCATAAATTGCTAATGCAAAAAGGAATCTATGCATATGCAAATTGAAAGACATTTGTTTGTGGTTAGTAAGATACATGTATAAAATGTATGCAGTACATGGATAATTGTGCGTGCATCTATTAATCATTTAGAGTCTAATATCATCCCATAGCAGAGTGTGACAACCTGATTCAAGAAATTAAGATGGAAATATATTGAGTTTTCACATGCAAGATGTGACAGTACCTGCAAGACAAATATTTTATACGCATGAACAGAAATTATCATTCTACACACTGTCATATAAAATAAAACAGAATATGTTGTAATATAAATATACCACCTTTTTAAACTATGCTTTTAATCAATACTTGTCTGTAAACCAACGATTGGCTAAGATTTAGTGATAGCAAACCGGGTTACCTGTGAAATCCCCATTCCTGCTCACAGCGAACCACTCATTTTAAACCATTCTCACAAACACTACGTGTACCAAGTAACACGCTTCGCATCGCATCATTGTGTTATATGAACTCAGAGCGCGAATAAATTCCTAACCGTGACCTTGCAGCTGCAATTTATTGAGCGTTATAAAACATTGCGCTATCTCAGTCACACAAATCAAATAACTATAGAAACGAGTCGTTCAGATGGTGCAGCTAAATAAATTATCTTACGCGTCTTACCATTTTTGCTGATCTTTATGAAAAGCGCGTCCGGCAGAGCAGCAAAAGACAGTTAAACTGGACCACTTCACTAGGGCGATCCACGTGAGGAAGAAATGTCCGGAAGGGTACTGCGCATGCGCCAAAAACTAATCCTTACCGACCCCCGTGCTAGAATATTCCTCGATCGCCTAAACGTTACACAAAGACATTTAAATATTTTTTTTTACTTGTTTAAAAAGCATTGTTGATTACAAATAACAAAAGAAAGGTAGTAAAAAGCTACCCAAATAAGGACCTAAATAAAAAAATATATATATTAACCCACTCTAAATACTAAATAAATAATTATACAACAAAAATACGAATTTATTGACTTATATAAACCAATATAATATATAAGACTTTAAACAAAAGCAAAGAAATTTGTAAAATGCAATAGCATTTCTTGTTGCACAATCTTGACCTCTGACGTCTTTTTTTCTCCAATAGAATCTGCGAAAATTCTCGAACGTGACGCCCCGGAACGAGCATAACAACAATATAATGGGCTATTTTAACGCATTTTATTTATATGTTCCTTCAGTGTGAACTAAATATGTTGAGTGACATTGAAACAAAAAGCAAATGAAGGCATCTGTGTATTTAAGAGCTTAATGCGTAGCTATTGTTTGATAATTTATAATAGTGGGTTATTCAGATGTCAGGGCGGGGGGAGGTTACCCGGATGAAGAACACATGTGAGTTCAGTGTAACTGCAGCAGCTCTAAAGCGGCTCCTTTTCTTACACCATTCAGTCTGCTGTACTGACGGACACGCGCATTCCTTCATTCACCTCCAGATCACTCTGCAGTAAGTCAGTTATAGCATTATACTCATTTATAAAAGCCTATAAACATACTACACTGCATAACGCTATTTACTGGCCTGGTAATATAAAGATTAATGAGATCAAAGAGGCAGATATGTAACATCATTTCGTAATGCCAGAGCTGTCAGTTGGTTCTGTCGAGTTGTAAAATAACATTGTGCACGTTTACCATGTAATTAGCTTTCATTTAATCCTATCGTATTCTAGAACATTTATACTTTTATGGCAGATGCTGATGGTGCTCATTAGAATAACTGGCATGAATGCAACAGATATATTATGCATATCACATACATTGCTTGGTAATTATAATGCATCAGTGTCATATCTGCTTTATTGACTACTTTATTATCAAAATAATAAAGCTCAGTCTTAACTGAAATATAGTGGTGAGTATAGCTTGCATGCTAACTATAGCAAATTCTATGATATTGAGGCCTAAGAATTTTACTCTTGTTCTGTATTAAATATTTAATCGGTGTCAGGGCTACAATGGTTAGTTTTGCTAAAACAAAAGGAATACCCCGGAAACTTTGTAACTTGAACGCATGAGGATGAAAGAGATCATTTCCGTCTCTGTCGTGACGCGGAGTGATTTTGACCTTGTGACGCCCTGAACGCACGTGGGGTAGATGAAAGACCACTACAGGCTCTGAATGACATGAACATTAACACATTTAAGTTTAGTGTAATCATTACCTGTTATCCTTGCTTTTTAAAACCTTTTCCCTTCTTTTTTTATGGTTGATGATCTGGCTTTGAACATTGTAGTAACTGTCCAGGTGAACCATGCCAGTGATGATTATATCCTCGTATTTTCTAAAGCATGTTTTAATGGCAAGCCTTGATATTTTGAACACGAAATATGATGAGGATACGTGAATGAATGAATCAGGCAAAGATTCATATAATGCTTTCAGGGGCCAGCGGGGGCAAAGACTAATTTTTGGCATCTGGAGGTCTCATGTGACCTCAACACAAGACTTTAATTTTTTGGGGGTGGGAAAGGGGAGTTTGGGAGGTTGAATATCATGCATAAAATGTCTCTACTGGAGAAGCTCAGAAGAGTTCTGTCGGTGACTGTCAGCCAATCAGAAACGGCTTTCTACCAACATCAGCCAATGCCATGGGTTTTGGGCGGGGCTACCTGTTTTGCTAAATCAATTCTCAACAAGGGATTCCGAGAGTGCCTCAAGATGACTGCAAATTATTTAAAATGACAAAACCGCTAAAAATCTATATATTTTTATTTTAATTTATCTATATGGCCTTGGAAAACATGAATACATGAGAGAGCCTCATTCTTAAAGTGTGATTCTAGACTTTGAAAAGTCATGTAAATTAATAAAATCTTGTGGGCATTTTTTAAAAGAATATACTTTTTTTCTAGTCATGCCAAGCTCTAAAATATTTTATCAAGTAGGAGTTGAGTAAAAAAAAAAAATCCTATTACTAATCCTTATCCGATAAATCACAAACAACTGGATAAAGAGCCCTTGAAAATTGTGGACAATGGGGCCCCTGGTCTAAATGATTGGAGTGTTTCTGAAAACTATCTTTATTTTTTCTTCTAATGATGTAAAAATCACTTATATCATGAATAATCTGAATTAAAAAAGTGTTCTGCTTCTACTCTCTCATTAGAAATGCTGCGTTTACCCAGTGTAATGAAACAGATGAGGCCAGTGTGCAGGGCGCTGGCCCCACACCTGACCCGTGCGTATGCTAAGGACGTCAAGTTTGGAGCAGATGCCCGCGCCCTCATGCTCCAGGGCGTTGACCTGCTGGCTGATGCTGTGGCCGTCACCATGGGACCAAAGGTATGCTGAGTTTAATCAGTCGCCAGTGGAACAGCAGATATGTTACTCCTCTTAAAGTCACATTTGCAATCATTAATGGCAGGAACAACTAGATTTGCCTCTCTACCTTAGGGTCGCACCGTTATCATTGAGCAGAGCTGGGGCAGCCCTAAAGTCACCAAAGATGGTGTCACAGTTGCCAAAAGTATCGACTTGAAGGATAAGTATAAGAACATCGGGGCCAGGCTGGTACAGGACGTGGCCAACAACACAAATGAGGAAGCTGGAGATGGCACCACAACCGCCACAGTTTTGGCCCGTGCTGTTGCCAAGGAAGGATTTGACACCATCAGCAAAGGCGCCAACCCTGTGGAGATCCGTAGAGGAGTCATGCTGGCGGTGGAAGAAGTCATCAATGAACTCAAGAAACTCTCCAAGCCGGTCACAACACCAGAGGAAATTGCTCAGGTAAGAAGTGCCCTAAAAACGCCCACTATATGGTAGGTTTAAAAAAAAAAATTTTTTGTAACTTTTTGTTTCTGTCAATCTTTCTTTGATATAGGTGGCCACTATTTCTGCCAATGGAGACACTGAAGTTGGTAACATCATCTCCAATGCTATGAAGAAAGTGGGCCGCAAGGGTGTTATTACAGTGAAGGTAGGCTGCTACACTAAGTAGTATTTAGTACAGGTGGAATGATGGTTTGATCCTTAAAATACCTCACACTTGGGCTGTAATTCTTGTTTAAAGGATGGTAAAACCCTACATGATGAGCTTGAACTCAAGAAACTCTCCAAGCCGGTCACAACACCAGAGGAAATTGCTCAGGTAAGAAGTGCCCTAAAAACGCCCACTATATGGTAGGTTTAAAAAAAAAAATTTTTGTAACTTTTTGTTTCTGTCAATCTTTCTTTGATATAGGTGGCCACTATTTCTGCCAATGGAGACACTGAAGTTGGTAACATCATCTCCAATGCTATGAAGAAAGTGGGCCGCAAGGGTGTTATTACAGTGAAGGTAGGCTGCTACACTAAGTAGTATTTAGTACAGGTGGAATGATGGTTTGATCCTTAAAATACCTCACACTTGGGCTGTAATTCTTGTTTAAAGGATGGTAAAACCCTACATGATGAGCTTGAGATCATTGAGGGCATGAAGTTCGACCGTGGCTACATTTCTCCTTACTTCATCAACACAGCTAAAGGTATGTATTTTGTAATAGAAGCTCATGTGTTTGTACCAGTATGAATTGGATAGTTCACCTAAAAATGAACATTTTGTCATCATTTACAAACCCGTATGAGTTTCATTCTTAAAAGAAGATATTTTGAAGAATGCTGGTAATCAAACAGTTGATGGTCTCCATTGACTTCTATAGTATTTCTTTCCTTTCTGTGGAGGTCAATGGGGGCCAACAACGGTTTGGTTCTTCAAACTATCTTCTTTTGTGTTTGGAACGACACAAGGGTGAATAAACGATGACAAAATTGTAATTTTTGGGTGAACCATTCCTTTAAGGCTGGAATGACAACAGCATATATTCTCTGTTTGCAGGCCAGAAGTGTGAGTTCCAGGATGCTTACCTGCTTCTGAGTGAGAAGAAGATCTCCAGCGTACAGAGCATCGTGCCAGCACTGGAACTTGCCAACCAGCATCGCAAGCCTCTGGTCATCATTGCTGAAGATGTGGACGGAGAGGCACTCAGCACTCTGGTCCTCAACAGGTTTGTCTCTAAAAACACCTTAGCACAACAACAAGAAGTTTGCAAGAAATACATGGGATGGATAGATGTGAAATGGAACTTCTGATTCCAGAAATATGGAATCTCCTAATAGATTTCAGAGTGTTTGGCTTTTTTTTTTTTTTTTTTTTTTTTTTTTTTTAAAAATATTTTTTTAGTGCCTATATGCTGTAATTAGCATGCCAACAGTTTGCTGTGCTTGGTCTTTAAATTTAAAAGCACTGCCACTAAAGCCATACAAATTCAGACAGATGTATTTGGCCATTCTATCAAATCTCACATTGTTTTTTTAGCATTGCACCAAGTGTTGCATTAAGACAGCATGTCAAGTTAACAATAGTCCAATTTTTAAAATGCGTTTTGAGACTCCAGTGTTCTGTTCCGGTCCAGTGTGCTCCGTCTAGTTGTTTTTGAAAACAAGACGTCTTATGTAAGCACTTGGGGTCAGGTGACTCCAACACCAGTCTACTTATACAGGATGTCCAGTTGAGACAGATTGGTCCACTATTCTTTTAGGCAACCATCTAACTAGTCAATTTTGAAAGTACTATAGTCTAGTACATCCCTAGTTTGAGTCAGACCCATGGTAGTCTGAATGTAACATCACACCCTGATTGGTTAAAATGTTGTTAAAGATCAGTCCATTATAGTGGACACTGTGAGTATTTATATGTTTATTTTCTTAATGACATTGGCTAATACTACAGTAAATTGCAAGAGATATATCAAAGTAACAACTGTAGTAACTTTGACGGAAACCGTTATTTTGTAAGGTATGATCCTTTAGAGGTTTAAGAATAGGCTGTTATTTAAAGATTCTGGGTTAAAGGTCAATACTAAAACTCACCAACAGGTTGAAGGTTGGACTTCAGGTCGTTGCAGTTAAGGCTCCAGGATTCGGGGACAACAGGAAAAACCAGCTGCAGGATATGGCAATTTCCACTGGAGGCACGGTATGTGCCTAAGCTTTTGTCTTCATCTGTATTCATTACATTAATTAATAGCTCATTTAAAATATCTCATTTATTTAATGCTTTAACATATTGTATTATGGCACGTATCATCTCTTTAGGTACTTGCCATTGCCCATAATAACATGATGAAGTCTGGTAACACACCTGATCTGTGTGTTTTCAGGTGTTTGGTGATGAGGCTGTGGGTCTGGCCATAGAGGATATCCAGGCACATGACTTTGGCAGAGTCGGCGAGGTCATTGTGACAAAGGATGACACGATGCTCCTCAAAGGCCGTGGTGATTCAGCAGCCATTGAGAAGCGTGTGAATGAGATCGCTGAACAGCTGGAGAGCACTAACAGTGACTACGAGAAGGAGAAACTCAACGAGCGTCTGGCCAAGCTCTCCGATGGAGTGGCTGTGATTAAGGTATGAAAGCAGGAAGAATGTATCGTCATTTGTTAGTACGTGTCCATCACCATGATAAAAAAAAACATTCTGTTTATTAGGTTGGAGGAACAAGTGACGTTGAAGTGAATGAGAAGAAAGACCGCGTCACTGATGCGCTGAATGCCACTCGAGCTGCTGTGGAGGAGGGAATAGTTCTTGGAGGAGGATGTGCCCTGTTGCGCTGCATCCCAGCCCTGGACAACATCAAGCCAGCCAATGATGATCTAAAGATTGGTAAGGACTGAAGTGTAGATCTCATCCTCCAGATGTCCTGTAAGAAATAACCCTCTGTTAACTTCCCCAAACGGACTTTTTTTTGCTCTTAAAGGTATCGACATCATTCGCAGAGCGCTTCGTATTCCTGCAATGACTATTGCCAAGAATGCAGGAGTTGAGGGCTCTCTGGTGGTGGAGAAGATCTTGCAGAGCGCTCCAGAGATTGGATATGACGCTATGAATGGTGAATATGTCAACATGGTCGAAAGAGGCATTATTGACCCCACAAAGGTGTGTATTTGTGATTCACAAACTTATAAGTTATCAGTTTAAATCAGTAATATGTCAGAGCGGTTTCTGTGAATTAATATCTCGACTTGTATGATATTACAATACTGCCCTACATTATATACAACACCATTTAAAAAAAATTTTTTTTTATGATCAGTTGCTTATTTTTGTGGAAACAATTTTTTTTTAATAGAAAGTTCAAAAGAACAGCATTTTCTGAAACTGAAATCATTTGTAACATTTATAAAAGTTTATCTAATTTTTAATTGGTTTTATGCCTTCTTAAAAGCATTTATTTCTTTAAAAGAAAGTCTTACTGACATCAAATTTTAATGTATATTTTTATATTTTGTTGTGATGCCAAATAGATAATGTACTGCCTAAATTATTTTGTAGCGTTTACATTTTTTATCCTGTAATTAATCAGTTATTGGCTGTAAAATTAAAAGAATTATTGATTGTGATGTTGGTACATCCCTATCAAAAACACAATGCTCCTTATGTTCAGTAAGTGTATTGTCTTTGTCTCCCCCTGCAGGTCGTGAGGACTGCTCTGCTAGATGCTGCAGGCGTTGCATCTCTGCTGTCTACTGCTGAAGCCGTTGTCACCGAGATACCAAAGGAGGAGAAGGACATGCCGGCTGGAGGAATGGGAGGCATGGGTGGCATGGGAGGCATGGGATTCTAAACCGATCTGCACCGACGTTAGTGAAAGGGTTGTGGGCAGGTGACATGATATGCCCCTCCCTTTCGAACCTGCCGAAATTGAGTACTGGTGGTCTGATCATGGAGCAAAAGAAATGGACCTTACAGTCTCCCATCCTTCCACCGCTATGTCCAATCTTATCTCTCTACTCATGGCTGAAGACGTCACCCTACCGCTTTAAAGACAAGTTCTTGATAATGTGACCAGGGAGAGTCTGTCTGCCTTTGTTATATAACATTGTGCTCACCAAGTCTAATGGGAAAGTGCATTTAACATTGCATACTGTCATGCTGTTGTGTTGTACGAATGTCATTGTCCGTATAGCTGGTTTTGAATCAGACCATCTGAAGGGGCTTTAAAAGCCAGATGTTCAGGTTAAAGTTTGTATTAATGAGCAAGAAAGTAGTAGGAACTTTGACCAGTTGTATCTAAAAAAAAAAAATCCACTTCATTGATCAGTTCATTTTGTTTTGTACACTGTTCATTTTCATATAAAAATAAACCCCTCATTTGAGGATTACACAACTGTGACGAAGCAAGTACTTGTTTTGCCTTCAATTGTTACTTTAGTTTTTCTCACGGAATAGAAATATGTTGATATCAGCTTAAAGAATTGTGATGTTTTCCTGTGTTTCTGGTTTCGTTTCTTAAAGGGATAGTTCTCCAAAAACAAAACAAAACTCATTTACCCACCTTCATGTTTTTCTAAACCTGACTTTGTTTTTTTTTCTGTGGAACACTATATATTATATTTTGAAAGTCAAGAGAGGTCCAAAACGACATTCAACAGCATGTTGGAGACTTTTTTTTTTTTTTTTCAAAATCTCTTTTGGTTGATGACAATTTTCATTTTTTAGTGAACTGTCCCTTTAAAATCTGAGGGTTGAACATCTTTTGGTCAAGATTAGAGTTTGGTAGGAAGGTTGAGTGGAGGGATGGGTGAACTTGTTGCACAGCAGTTTTTACAACAGCCATGCAAGTGTATGCCCAACAAAATATTGAATACAATTAGTGCGAAGTCATTCTAAAGATCTAACTTTTGAGTAGTGGTACAGTATAGTGTTTAAAAAAAAAACTGTTTATTAAGAGAATTACTTGTTTTTAAAGCTACATTCTCTATGAATGTGCAACAATGATCATTCAACAATGTTTTGTACAATATAGTCATTAATTCTGTATTTTTTATTTAATAAAATTCAGTGTTCACAAAGAAATTAGTTTTGTCCTGTTGATGTCCTAGCCAATCAGTGGCTTCCTTGTCAGAAAGATTTTACATTAAAAATATTTGTATAAATCAACTTAAAACAGTGATAAACTTACTGTGTTATAGCGTGACAATTAACACATTTTATCATTAATTCGGCATAAAATGGCACTCACAACTAAGGCCAAGCCTTGATTTTTGAGAATTGATTGGATTGTGAAAAGTGGGCATTCCATACCAGACTACTCCCCTTGAAACATCAGCAGCCTCGGTGACGTCTGAAAAGGCTATTGTCTTAGAAGTGAAGCCAACTACATTTAGACTACTACAAAGACAAACGTTTGTTCCTTTATCATACGTACGGATAGGACCAGGAACATGTTAAGAAACAGGTTCATTCTGATTTCATGTTAAGTCTAGACTTGTTGACGATTATGTGAATACTACAGCAACACTCTCTCTTTTAATAAGTAATTAAAGTAGATGTTCACCCTTCAGCCTTCAATGATTTGCAAGCTGCATTCACATTTGAAATTACCAGTGAATAACAAAAAATATTGGCTGTTCACACTCAAAGTATCTAACAGACTGCTGCTGAAAATAAAAAATATATATATATACGGAGCATTTAAAAGCGTTTTAGTAACTTTCAGTAATCAGTTACCAATAATATTTTATGAATGTGTTCCTTCAGATTACAATAATACTTCTATCAGCTTATTTATTTACTATTCCAATGGCTATTTTAAAATAATATTAATTAGTATTTCTTCAAAATATATTCTGTGAGCAGGATGCATATTTTTACATACTATTTAAAAATAAAAGTAGTAGGCAGCACACTGTATATCCTGCACATTTTGCATAATGCTAATATTTAATTCTAATTGAGCCAAAGACTTGTAATTAGATCTCAGGGCCATCACTGTCATTGGCCACTAGGGGTCATGACACAGGTTACTCAGAGGCCTTCTAATATTATCCCTCACATGATCACCCTATTTTAAGTGTGGAAACTTGTCAGAACCAGATGTTAGTAAACAAACACACACAAGGCTAGGTTTTACATATAAAAATAGTTTATAAACCATGCAGGCAGGATATATATATTCACCCACAACACACATTAAAACAAACAAAAAGAAGAGATCCCAAAAAGAAAGAAAAGGGGAAAAAAAAAAAGATTATCCATTTGTTTTTTTTATAGCTCAATTGTACACTAAAGATTAGTCTGTGGTCTTACACTGGATATGTACACATGGTTAACCCATAACCAAAATAAATACAGGATACTCGTATACATGTTTTTAAGATAATGATAAATAATATGAAACCTTCTCTGTAAAAGGCAGTAAGCAAGCATGTGGAAGCGTAGGGTATGGACTGGAATCTTTAAAGGTCTGTGTTGACGGATACCTCACTACAATCTGATGAGAGCTCTGGGAAAGGTTCGCTACGTTCCACTCCGTTTCCCAGAGTTTGGGCCCTTTTAGAAGCAGTGGATATCAGATGGGTGAGCAGTCTGTTAAAAACAACATACAAACATATTGCACACCTCTAGGAGAGAAAAGCAGTCTTTAATCTGGACACTTAAAATCATCTGAGGAGTGAACTGGAGCACCACTGCCAGGACTAAACTGTGCAAAATGGTATAACGCAAGGCAGTGTGGTGAAAGGGAGCCTCTTAGCATTTATTTTTCATGCCCGTTTTTGTGCTGGTATGCAAGAATTCAACAGACCTGAGTCCAGTGTGTAGCCTTGATACCTTGATAGCACTTTGTGCATTTGGCTGCATGCAACAGTCAGTCTTCTGCACGCGACGCACACACTCAACTCAAGTTGAGTCTCCTCATCCCTTTCTTGAAATCTTAAAGGATCACCTAAAAGCTTCTCAATAAATACATCACTCACCTGTCGTATGAACTATGTAACAACAATCTTTCCATAAAATATCTCAAAATAACGTCCTCTCGAAGAAACCCATGACTTTTGTCTATTGTGCCATTCATGAAGCCATTATGGTTTTTGGCAGCTGTTTTAAAAACCATCTCAAGGTCCTCATATTAAAAATATAAGGCTCAAGGTGCCATACTGATAACGGGTTTTAAAAAGTTAACATGGAGGTAGTGGAGCAGGGCTTAGTGGGCACAATCAAGCTCTCCATGAAAAGATCCAGCCACATTTGTTTTTTAGCATAAAAAAAATTTTTTTTTTTTAAATCGACTTTTTTTTTGGACCAGGCACTGGCGATATTCAGGCACACAGAGCTCCCGCTCTCTCGACTGTCTTTGTAATACTCTTAAATGTATGCTTTCAATAAAACCCCCAGTTCCCTGAACAACAACCCCCTCCCCATCCGTCTGAAGCTGTGGAATGAACTACGTGTGGTGGACCTCGTGGAACATCAGTTCACGTGGGATCTGTGTCTCCGGGCCGTATAGCTTGGACGCTCGCCGCTCAAAGGCCGACACCATCTGCTTCACGACCTCGTCGAAGAAAACGGTGGCCAACTGAGAATGCAGGAGCGAGCGGAACTCAAAGGATATCTAGGGACAGACAGAAGCAGGGAATCAACATTTGGTAGAAATTTCACAAACTGATTTACGAAAACTGAGTTTTACTTTGACATTTAAAAAGCTAGTGTTCCATACGTAAAACCCTTTCAAGACAGACCTAACATAAGCTCTAAGGTTGTTAAATGATGGTACAAGCTTGTGTGAAAGTCAATGTGATGACTTATAAATAACATAATTACAAAAAATGTTTAACAGTCAAACTCTAGAAGCAATGGAATTGATTGGTGGATCTTGTTTCAGCATTGCAGCACAGTTGATATTACCATTAAATCTTCCAAGCAGTGTGTTTTTGTAGTATAGCATAATCAAGATAAAACTCTGATTCTTTTTACAGTATTAGTAATTCTTCATGGGATGAGTAGATCTTTTATATCCTCATAATAAAAGCCCACTACACAGCCTTTTTAAAAATGTTCAAAAAATTTCTGCTTTGAATCAAATGTGGTAATTCATAAATGTTATGGCTCATCTCAAAGGACTTTAAAGGGTTAGTTCACCCAAAAATGAAAATTAGGCTGCGTTTTACTCAACTTATGAGTTGCATGCGCAAAGTCGAACTCATACGTCATTCCCCCGGAACTGCTTCTGTTTACAACAGTGAGCGCAAGCTAGATTCAAGTGATTATTACGTTTTGAATATGGATATTTTTCTTACAAAAACACATCGATTCGCTACAGAAGGCCTTTGTTCACCCCCGGAGCCGTGTGAGACACTTTTTTTTATGGAAGGGCGCTTTTTATTTCAGGTCTTTTGGACTGAAGAAATGCAACACCCACTGACTGAAATGATAGAGCTTGAAAGATCAAAGACAATTTTTAATATAACTCCGACTGGATTCGTCTGAAAGAAGAAAGTCATATACACCTAGGATGCCTCGGGGGTGAGTAAAACGCAGCCTAATTTTCATTTTTGGGTGAACTAACCCTTTAAGACTTTTCAGAAATACAAGAGAAAGTGAATGGAACTCAAACCTCACTGGTTCTTAAGCTCAAATCTGCTTGCATGATATATGAGAACAGCTTCTGTGTACCATATTTAATGGAGGGACAGAAATCTAAGGTTTCATTAAAAATATAATTTGTATTTGAAAAATGAAAAAAAAAAAAAAAAGTCTTAGCTTGGGTGAGCAAATGATGACAAAACTTTCTTTTTGGGTGAACTACCTCTTTAAATATAAGCAAGAGTATTAGTCTTGGCAAGCACCCTTAAATATACTTAATATTAATATTTAATATTAAAGTTTAAATATACATCGCATTCCAGCTTCACCTGAGGATGATAAACCAGACTGTGCTTGTAATACTTACAGCAAAGTCTAGGGTGCATGTACGGGGGTAGCCAGGAAGACCAGGGCTGAAGCGCCACACCGTCTCCAAGTGATTGAAAAGTTTTCCATCAGAGCAAGATGCCTGAAGATGCAAAAAAGCAATGGAGTTAAAAACGACTTTCAGCTCATACACTTGATTGACAACACAAGTATTATGAAGTATTGGTCTGCCATCAATCTATAAAATAGATCTACTTAAGAAAATAAAGTGATGTACATACCTTGACTAAATGCGGGCGAACTGTAGTAACGAGTGAGGTGTAGTTTTCTACCACAGGAGGGAAGCCCACAGCCAGCTTGGACTTGCAAAATCCAGAGCGGCGGAATATAACGTCTGAGCGTTTGCACCAGGGCACGAACAGCAGGTAGTCTTCTACTTTGGCCACAACCTCATACATTTCTTGCATCGAGTACCTGGATAATACAATGGTGTACTGTGTGCAAATGACATTAACAACAAATTGTTTAATTTTTGTTTTGGGAGTTCTTAGGGGGATAGGATTTTTCTATGCAAGTAAGTAATCATTTAGCAGACACTTTAACTCAAAGTGACTTACAGTATACTGAATACACAGGAGTAATCCAGGGTTAAGTGTTCAAGGGCACAATAGTAATAGCTCAAACTTTCTGATTACCAGCCCTAAGCTTCAGTCATTATGCCACAACACAGACTGCAGTTATAGTCAGAAGAGTGCAATGAGTGCAGAGTGCAATATTAATTTAACTTTGGAGTCGTGGCAGCTCATAACCTCACTGGATGCCTTAAATATATCTCATCACTGTACAGGTGTGACCCAAAAAAACAAAAAACAAAAGGTTGTTGCTAAAGTTGAGAATGGATTTAATGTGCTTAAGTTTCACGGTCTCATTTTGGAGCATTTGAAGACCTTCACGTTAAAGATAACAGATAAGATACAATAATCATAGAAATGACTCAAGTCCCTCAGTGTCTGCTTGTTAGCCACAATCCATCAAATATGATCTTTTCAAAAATGTTCTGACTATATAGGTGCTCAGTTTAGTTCCTGGATATGCATGTAGTCATTCAGTACATGATTTTATGCAAAGCTACAGAGTACTGAAGGTACATTTATTATAAAGACTTT